ATAGTATGTTATGTATATAGTTTACAAGAAATTGCCTTAGACAAAAAAAATTTTAAAAAATAGCTCGGAACGAAAAAGCCTGTTAGGCCCGTGGGCCCGACCCATTTAGCCCCGGACCATGTGGGCTTAGGCCCACAGTGGGCCGGTTCCACACATTAGGACCATTGGGCCCCGGACCGCCAAAGACCGGCCCGCCGAAGCCCGGGACCGTTTAGCCCGTTTAGGCCCGGGCCCGGCCCAAAATACAGCCTTACTATAGAGATTATGAGTTTCCTAAAAATACAAAGAAATAATTCAAGCCACAAAATAACAATTCTATCTCTGTTTTCTTCTATTAAGCTTATAAATGGAGTTTATATTGATTATTTAATTAAAGCAAATCTCAGTTCGTTGATCGAGTTAAATTGTGTGAATATCAAATTAGCTTGTTACCATTTTCACATTTAATTAAGTAAAAAATTAATTTACAAGTCATAAAAGTTAGATAAAAATCACTAGCACGCTGAAACAGAGCTAGAGAAGTAGATACATGTTCAAACGAACCCAGTAACTTTTGCTTAGATTCTGTATTAGTATTAAGGTATTCATTAAATATGTATAAATATTTAATGGGAAACTGAGTAACTAAACAAGCTATGAGTTCGACGACAACTTCAGAACTCAGAAACTTCAAATCTTGGCCACGTCTCTGCTAGCACGTGGACAATATTAACTTCTCTGATTGGAGCAAGTTACCATTTACCAATCTTCTGCCAAGTTTTAATTCTTATCGTATTTCAGTTAGATAGGAAACCGAGAAAAAAAATTCTTTATTATCAATAAAAGGAAAAAAAAGAAAAGAAAGAAAAGAAGATAAAAGCCAGACACTAAAGATTTAGTTTAATCGAAGAGTTGTACTCATCCGTTTCACTTCCACCAAATTTTGGTGTAAATAGAATTCTTTCCAACTCCAAAGACTCCATCATTCGACACTAAAGAGAACCTATAAATTATGAACTAGACTTCATTTGTTTTAGATATTCTCTTCCTCGGATACTAATAACTGGAATTGTGAACAGGAAATAGAGGAAACAAACCTCAGTGCCATGGATAGAACTTAAGAATTACCAACAGAAATTCTCCACAATATACTCTCTCGTCTCTCCACAAAAACAGCGGCTCGAACCAGCGTGTTGTCAAAGCCATGGCTTAAAGCATGTTCTACGAACCCCCTTCTTAGTTTTGATGATTCTTACTTTCAAAACTTTCAAATTGTAGACAA